CAAGTTCTCACTATTAACTAACTTTTAACTATGACTTTTTTTCTGTATAAACTCCTAATTTGCTGCTTATTAATAGTTAATAAAGTAGTTGTTAGGTTTAGGGTTGGATTAAGGGATCTAAAATATGGTCATGCAGAATAAGGCATTAATATGTGCTTTATAAGCACTAATAAACAGCCAATATGCTTGTATTATGCATGTTAATAAACAACTAGTTAATACTGAAAATTTGTCTGTAAACTAAAGTGTTACCAGTCTCATATTTGGTGCATGCTGCCAAAAAATGATTAATCGTAATTATAAAATAATAATACAAAAAAAGTCCCTATTTGAGTCTCAGATTTATGTTAGTTTAGTTAGCCATCTGTCTGAAAGTGTTAGGTTACCACTGTAATTAACTAGTTCTCCATGCTGGAAAAAAATGTTTTTCCGGCAGCTCTTTTTCATGGTCATTCAAATGTATAATTCCATTGTGGAAACTGAAAGCTTCATTTTATGTCCCGACCTTTGCTATATCCCAGAAAACCAACATTTGTTCTGGAGCACTGTGTCGTTTTTCATCTTGAGTGCTTTTCCAGTGTCTTGTAGTTTGTTTTTTTAACTCAGATTTTTCACCTGGTCGTTTTTAGACTGGTTGTCAGAAGTGTTCAGACAGCATTTAGTTTCTGAAAGCTACAGACACTGCTGGGATTATGTAAATCTGCAGACAAATAGGTCAACCACTATCATGTGGTGTGATGGGTAGACAATGCGTGAGCCCACATTCATAAATCAGAGACAGACAAAGAGAAAGGAAAAAGTGGTACAAACAATATATAGCAACGCACATTAACACCTTAGTCACTGCATAACAATACTCCCACCCAGTAACCACCCAGAACGCAACCGTATATCAATGCTCTGAAAGCCACTTGTATCACTTTAGAAACCTCATATCAATGCTCTCACAACCACCCACAACACCCCTAGCATCATGGCGGTGACGTTTTCTCCACTGGATCCACTTACTTCTCTTCTGCTCTGGCTGGCCAATAGACTAGAAATAGACTAGAGAACTAGAGTAAAGAGTTTCACAGATTCTCAATTTTCTAGGCCTTTGACCCAGACTTAATCATATCTTGTCAAGTTGAGTGGAGATTCTCCATTTCTTCAGTGCTCTTGGATGCACTACTGGGTTTAGGCCTGTCACGATAACAACTTTTTGTTGTGTGATATATTGCCCCAGAAATAATTGAGATTTTATGACCATTTTATGCCACTGAATATATAATCATAATGTAAAAGGATAATAATGCAAGAAGGCCTACACACACCAAATGACAACAAACTTTTAATTTTTAAGAATATTTAGATCATGGAAATTAAGTATCAAAATATTAGATACCTTAAAAAACTTGAATAAATAGTAAATAAACATTTTCTAACAAAAAGTGCTATGTAACAAGTAGAAAAAAAGAAAAATGCACAAAGAACTTTTTCCATCTACAGATTTTTCCCTGACCTTCTTTTCTCTGTAAATGAAGGGTGCACACACTATTGCTGAAAAACACAATCACTACTTAGCAGTCAGATGTCCATATGCACAAAGGCACAGATCCCCAAACAAGACCATGTCTGCAAATTAAACTGTTTTTGTAGAAGCATTTTTTAAATTTGAACGAGCACCTCATGACTACACCACGTTATGTACGAGAAGCTGCAAAAGACACAGGTGCAAGTGGAATGTGCAAAACATGGTGACATTAATTGTTAAGTAAATATAATGTGCGATATATTGCATCACCAAAAATTATTGAGGTCATGTACATATATTGTGCGATAAGTCGATATATTGATTATTGCGACAGGCCTAACTGGGTTGGTTAAATATGTGGGTCACTCTCAATCTAATATAACGCTCCATTTATTTTATAGCTATTTCTGTCTAATCACTGAGAATGTCAGTTGTTTTAAAAGTTGTTCATTAGCTGATGTCAGCTGGCTTTGGAGTCTTCTTGGAGGCCTTCTTGACTTTGTGTGTGTTTGAGAGAAATATGTACAGATTAAGGGCAGAAAAGCAAGAAAGCTGCCAAGACCAGCACTGACTTGTCATTTCCCAGGGCTAATCAGTTTCCCAGGGAAAACAGAATGCTTTCTCTAGTGAATAATTACATCTCAGTTCTCACCTGTGTCCAGTCTGATAGAGATGTGTGTTTGCTTCTGAGAACTCTGAGGTTGTGTGCAGAAGCGTACTAAGATTACAGTACTGCACTGCATGAACCTCAGAAAGAAAGGTTGCAATTTCCTTCTACTGTAGCTGGTCTGTTAAACCAATGTAATTCCTCTTCTTCTTGAATGTCTAGACTTGTAGTTCCTTCAATGGTGAAACTGTTTTCTTGTGCATTGTGGATGCCCAGTTTTGATGTGGCAAAACATTTCAAATGAGGTGTGACCAGGGTCGCATTTATCCCCACAGTTTCTGTAGGATTGCAAGCCTCATTCAGAAAGTTGCAAGCCCATCATACACAATTCACAAAATCACCCCTTACATGATTGATTTTTATCTATTTTGACTGAACTGGTTGCTTTTTCAGTAACCAGTTAGTGAGAGTGTAGTACTACCTTGCTCTGTTTTACACATTTAGCAATTTTAAATACATTCCACAAGATTTCAAAGATTTGAATTTCAAATTCAAATTCTCTATACATCGATCAGTTACATTGATGATATAGTGACATCATCCTTCAGGAAATGACATCAATTTTAGTGGAAAAACAACAGCCCATATATGTGAAAGTTTTATTAATGGATTTGATGAATCCTGTGATGTTTTGTGGAATTAAGCCCGAGACACACTACACGATTTTCGGCTGTCCCAGATAAAAGATTGGCATCATGAAACAATCGTGGCGATTTCTGTGATTGTGGCTCCTAATTGGTGGTCCTATGTCGTACAGTGAGAGAGGTTCAAAGATGCCCGTTGTCATGGTCTTGCGACAGTGTGAGAAACTCAGCATGATCATCGCACAGTGCACAGTGCTGCTACAACCCATGTTTACTGACCAGCCAATAAAAATGCGACATGAAATCAACACGACATGGCGCTAAAACATAAAACTGCTTACCTCAAGCTCTTATCCCTTCCTCTTTCGCCGCTTTACCACTAGTGCATACTGATGATGTTTTATTCTTCTATAGTAACGTGTGTCAATAGATGTCATGTACAGTCTACATGCATGCCATACCCAGGTTTATTAGATCTGTTGCACAGTGTGATTTGCAATGATCTTACAGGATTGCTAAAATCGTACAGTCTGTAGAAGGCTTTAGTTGGTTTGTGTCAAGACCAGTTCAAGACCAGTTGTGTCAAGAGTCCTGGCTAAGACCCAGGTAAACTGAGTCAGAGTCAAGACTGAGACCAGAACAGGGTTGAATAATGGACTCAACCCTTTTCTGATCTCGGTTTTGACTTGGACCAAGGTCCATAACCGAGACCAAGTCAAGACAGAGACCAGCAGAAGGGTCTGAATGATTCAGACAGTGTAAATATCCTTTTATTTCTGGGTATATGAAGCCTGGTTTTGTGCCAGTGTCACACAAGCCACTCTATACAGTGCACTTTGGTCCAGAGATACGCAATAGCACAAATTTAGTCATCAAAAACCACATAACATCTGCATAGTTTGAGTCAGAGTCAACCCAGGAGGCACACAATGTCATAAGATGTTGATATTTGGTTACATTTCAGTTGCAACGTCAGGTGACCAAAATTCAAGTCAGTTCAGCATTTAATGTCAATAGTAATTTGATGTCCAATACCAACGTCAGCTGATGTTGATATTTGTTGTTTTTAGGTCGTGTAACCAAAACCAATGCAAAATCAACCTCAAATTGGTGTCAAATACTGATGTCAACCCAATTTTCATTCTCAACATCATATCCAGTGTTAACCTGACATTATATTGACGTCCTGTGCCTGCTGGGAAGACTGTATTCCTGGGAGTCCAATTGCTCCTGAGTGACCAAAAATATGGTATTGGTCACCACAACACTGTCTTAAGCATTCCATCCCCTTTAATGAAGTTAAAGGAATCTGTGTCCAATTTGTGAAAAAAAGGTTATCACGCTTAAAGTTAGGGTAGGCGATTTTGGAAAGGCTAGAGATAGCAAGTTAGCTTTGAAAGCAAGATCCCCACCCTCCCTGCATAATCGCTCTGCAAAGCCACACCTCCCACAAAACACACAAATATGCTCAGGCAGACCAGAGACTAACCTGCGACACGATGAGAGATGGCGTTTGTGGAGGATTGAATGCAACACTGTCAGATTACTTCACGTCTCATTCACCAGTGAGAAAACATTACAGTACAAAGCGCATAATGTTACAATAATAGTGCCTTTCATTCATGCTGTAACGCGCTGATGACGTATCATGTCTGTGCAAACAGGGTGCACAGAGGTATGCAAATACATATTTGATGTTCGGACCGAACATATTGATTGGACGAAATTTTCTGGGTCCTATGCCTTCCACAGAAGATATAAATACATATAAATACATTTAGACCACTTAAATTAAAGAGTGCTATCGAGATGTGAAGAGGCACGTCCTGATTTTGCTGAGTTAGATGTGTTCCTAGGTCAACATATTTTGTTGACCCTGGAACAACATTTTAAACCAAAAATTTAGTCTTGACCCTATCCCTACACCTAAACCTAACTTTAACCATGAGTAATCCCTAAAGTCAGAGGAAATGATAGATGAATGACACTGATGTGCAAGCACCAAACACTGATTGTGTTACAATCAGTAACACTAAACTTCACAAAAACTATAAACTGGTTCTTCAAATCTGATTGGTTAATCACAATGTTGTTCCAGGGTCAACAAAGATGTTGATCCAGGAACATGTCGCACTTGGTAAAATCAGGTTCTGCATGTGAAGAGACTTTCAACCAGCAAAAAAAAAAAAAAAACTGCCTTTAATAGTGTCTCTTTCTGTGTCTCCTTCACCTGTAGGTGGTGCGGGCTCGTCTGGAGGAGCGAGGCGTAGCGGTGCGTGATGTGAAGCTGAACGGCTCAGCTGCCAGTTATGTGCTCCACCAGGACACTGGCCTGGGCTACAAAGACCTAGACCTGATCTTTGGCCTGAGTCTGACTGACGACAGGACCTTCCGTCTGGTGAAGGACGTGGTCCTGGACAGCCTCCTGGAGTTCCTGCCCGCCGGTGTGAGCCGGGACCGCATCACTGCCCAGACCCTGAAGGAAGTGTATGTGCAGAAGCTGGTGAAGGTTTGCAACGACACGGACCGCTGGAGCCTCATCTCACTTTCTAACAACACTGGCAAGAACGTGGAGCTGAAGTTTGTGGACTCCCTGCGACGGCAGTTTGAGTTCAGCGTGGACTCTTTTCAGATCGGCTTGGACTCGCTGCTGCTTTTCGACCGCTGCTCCGAGACGCTCATGTCCGAGAGTTTCCATCCCACTGTGGTCGGAGAGAGTATGTACGGAGACTTTAAAGAAGCGCTGGGACACCTACACGCTAAAATCATCGCTACGCACAGTCCAGAAGAGATCCGTGGCGGCGGGCTCTTGAAGTACTGCCACCTGCTGGTAAGCGGTTTCCGTCCAGCGTCCGAGACGCAGATGAAGGCGCTCCAGCGCTACATGTGCTCACGCTTCTTCATCGACTTCCCCGACATCAATGAGCAGCAGAGGAAGCTTGAGGCGTACCTGCAGAACCACTTTAACGGCATGGAGCACAAGCGTTACGATTGCCTCGTGACTCTCCATCGCGTGGTGGATGAAAGCACCGTGTGTCTCATGGGCCACGAGCGGAGGCAGACGCTCACGCTCATCTCCTCTCTGGCACTACATGTGCTGGCCGAACAGAACGCCATTCCTGCGCTGTCTAACGTTACGTGTTACTACCAACCAGCGCCCTACGTCAGAGACGTCAACTTCAGCAACTACTATGTAGCACATGTGCATTCGCCAATTTCCACCTGTAACAACTCCTATCAGACATGGCTGCCTTGTAGCTGAGCCATAAAGGGACGAAAACACTGCTGGGGAATATTTGCAGTTTTCAGATGATGTTTGGTTAAAATCCTCAGACTTTCCAGGGGGAATCTCATTAAAACATGTTTGATGTCACAACTCACAGAAAAAGAACATACTGAATATTTTGCATTAAGAAATGACCATTTCTCAATTGTGATTCTCGTTATACTTTCATATTTTTGATGAGAATTAAAGTGAAAATCAAGACATTACAACAAATACTACACATTTTAGGATTTGGAAAATTCTTGTACTTAATTTTTCTTTAAAATTATTTTGCGATGACCAAAAAAAAAGTCTTAATGGTCTTACAAGTAGGCTTAAATTTCTTTACGCATAATATAGGTTCTTATTTTTTTCCTTGTGATTTTGGGCTGAAATATGACCCAGACATGTTTTTTGTATGGTTTCATGAGATTCACTATCCAATTTTACCGTTTTTCTTTTTTTCTTTTGTGCAAAATTGGACCAAATGTCAGATAATGTGTCTTTAAGTGGATGCCACCAATCCACCCCAGTTTCACTGAACTCTACTATACTGGAAGACTCAAAATATTTCAGATTGCTCTCAAAATCTTTTTTGAGGATTTTGTCCAGTGCGGATGAAACGACAACAATGAACATTGGGAGGAAGGTGGGAAAATGTCTAAAGCACTTCTCTACTCTATGTATGTGTAACCCATTCATGTTTTATAAGTGAAACATTTTTAAGTTATGAAACAACTTTTGTTGGAAGTTATGAAAAAAAATAGAGAAACAAAATCAAGAAAACAGTAAAGCTGGGAGACTATGTTCAGTTCTGACCGTGGTTTGCTACTTTCCTTATTTGAAAAACTGAGGACCAAAGACTTTAGATGTACCAGTTTAAGTGGAATGTTACTTCTGTGACTTCAAGTGCCTGAAACCAACTACAAAATGACATATGTAAATTAAAAATGTTTATTGTTTTGTTCTCCTGGCTACTGTATACTACAGTATTTTTATTTTCAGGGTAATGGCATTTCCTTTCCAAATCATAAAAAAAAAAAGAAATACAGCTAAAATTGCTCCTAGTCTTTTTGCCTTATTTGTAGAAATGCATGTGCACACATATCACAATAAAAAGAGTATAGGAAAATAATCATATTCATGGCGTGTTACAAAATAATCATAATATGAATGTTGCTAAACTTTATGGTGGATGCTATTTTTACTCTTTGTATTTGGACACTTATTTGCTATTTTAGTTCCCTTGCATTAGATAACAAGATATCAAAAAGTGCAATAAAAAAAAAAAACGTCTTAAGTATTATGGCACTAATGAAGTAATTATTTGCTAATGTGATGAACCTGTGGTTGCTCTATAGGACACCTCTGTGAATTTGTGGAGAACTTCTCTCACACATCCACTAAAAATCTCCAGTTGATTGAAAGTCATTGCAAAAAAATGACCTAGACGCCAAATGATTAAAAGTCATTTCAAAAATGGCTCAGAAAAGTAGTTGTAGATTTGAGCAAAGATATTGCAGCATTTGAGCACAGATGCCTTGCTATTTTATTATCTAATAAAGTGACAGTCAGATATTTTAATATCTAAATACTATTTTGGGCCACTATTTTTGGGTCTGTGGGATGTGGAGGGTTTATATCTCTCGTAGGTCAGGCTCTGCTTGTGTTGGCTGTGTTGCGCTCATTGTTGCTGAGGACACAGCTGATGAACAGCTGTTAGGAGAGCAGTGAATGTGCTGCTTGCTGAATATGCAGTTTAGAAACAGATGCTCCACATGTTGTTGTACTCTGTGTATATGCTACAGGCCATCATTCAAGCACTGGCGTCATGGTACCTAATGTACCACTGACTAATAATATAATTCGGTGTGACAAACAGGAAGCTGTGCCATGGGCTGTTCTTAAACTGAGATATCAGGTGTGTACAGCACGTGTTTAGCTCAGAATGGATATTTAACTGCTTTTTAAGAGGTACAATGAATGTGCACTTGTAGTGTACTTCAAATCTTAAAAGGATATTAAAAAAAGAAGAAAATATACCATTAATTAAATAAAAGACCCTTTACGTCTGCTTAAAGAGAGTTCACGTTCATGATTCTTAAAGGGATAGTTTACCCATAAATGAACATTATTACTCACCCTCATGTTGTTCTAAACCCGTGAGACCTTTGTTCATTTTCGGAACACAAATTAAGATTTTTGATGAAATCCGAGAGCTTTCTGACCCTCCATGGACAGCAATGCAACTGAAATGTACCCAGACCCAGAAACGTAGCAAGGACATCATTAAAATAGTCCACGTGACATCAGTGGTCCAACCGTAATTTTTAAGAAGCAGCGAGAATATTTTTTGCGCGCAACAAAACCAAAAAAAACTAAAATATTTTTATTCAACAATTCTTCTCCTTCGCATTACCATAGGGTGCCATTATAGAGAGTATCACAATGTATGCGCGTAAGTTTCTTTGCACGTAAACAAGTCTGTTCTACATCAGCAGTATCACGTGGAAGACCTGATTTGGAGGAAAATAATTGTTGAATAAAGTTATTTTTGTTTTCTTTGAGCACAAAAGGTATTCTTGCTGCTTTATAAAATTACGGTTGGACCACTGATGTCACATGGACTATTTTACCGATGTCCTTGCTATACGTTTCTGGGCCTGGGAACATTTCAGTTACATTGCTGTCTATGGGAGGGTCAGAAAGCTCTCAGATTTCATCAAAATATCTTAATTTGGGTTCCGAGGATGAACGAAGGTCTTACAAGTTTGGAATGACATGAGGGTGAGTAATTAATGACAGAATTTTCATTTTTGGGTGAACTATCCCTTTAAAATATTTTTTATGAAATCTGAGAGCTTTCTGAACCTCCATAGACAGCAAGGGTACTACCGCGATCAAGGCCCAGAAAGGTAGTAAGGACATTGTTAAAATAGTCCATGTGACATCAGTGGTTTAACTGTCATTTTTTAATGAAGCTACGAGAATACTTCTTGTGCCCAAATAAAACAAAAACAACAACTTTATTCAACATTTTTTTCTCTTCCGTGTCAGTCTTCGACATGCATTCACTTAGAGTACCACGACGCATGTGACACATCTATTTAAAGGTCCCCTGAAGTGCCTTGAAACAGGCAGCATTATTCTATGTGGTGATGTAATTTCAACTGAAACGGGAAGAGAGGGCGGGACATATCGAGCAGCCCCGCCCCCTTTTTAAATCGGTAAAGCCGTATTTGACAGCCCCAGTCTAATAGATTACCCCCTAGATTCAATATGAAACTCTTAGTAAAACAAAATAGTGGTCATAATCATGCTGAGGCTGTGTAGTTGTAAAAGCTTTTAATAAATGCTGACTCACGCATATGATCCGCTCCGTGTGATCGCGTCTCTGGACCGAAGCTAAAGTCCGGATCAGACTGTGTGCGCTGCCGCGGTTCGCGTGAAACAACGTGAAACCAGACCTCATTTTCACCAATCGAAAGCATATTTACACTGTCTGAATCGTTCCCTATCACCTACATTGTTCACTTCGAGCCATTCACTGTACAGGAAATACTACACTGTGAGTGTGAACAAGTGACCGATCTCAGCCGCTTCAGCGTCTATTTATAGTGCAGGGGGCGGGCACTTCGGATTCTAGAGAGCATTTGATTGGTCAGAAGATTTGATGAGAAGATGAAGTACGATGTGACGTCAAAAAAAAAAAAATCGTTGAGCCGTTTTGGCGGAAGTGACGAACTGCAAGCTTTGAATGCTTATATCTTATAAATGCGAATTTTGTCACTGTTTTGGAGCACACTGCCTTATAGATAACCTTAAGACTAACATATTGATACTAACACCCAAAAAACTGTAATTTTGATTTCATGGGGACTTTAAGTGGGTCAAAAAAAGCACTCTTGATTTCAACTAATTTAATATAAATACATTTTAATTTAATTGGAAATAACGTGCAGTTAAGTGTCTGAAACCATCACAATCAGTTCGCACCTAAGTATATTCTTTGTAAGTATATTCTTTATATATTATTTCTGTAATAAGTAAAAGTTTTTCATACTTTTTTCACAAGGGAAGGCAAACACTGAGTTACCGATCTGCTTCTTCCTCTTCACTGGACTGGTGTTTGCTTCAGGAAATACAATCTAATTGGTTGTGTATTTGAAAAAATACATAAATAAATCCGTTTCGGGAACTCTGGCCTAGCTTCATCCGTTACAGAAGTTGTGAATGTCACATAAAAATAAATAAAATGAAAGATAGACTGGTGTACTTGACAGAAAATATCTTATTTCTTAAACAAGCTAATGATTTCTGGGCAGCAAAAGCCTTGTCTTCTTGACTTACTGTAATAGCACAGCATGAGTTATAGAATATGGAATTGCAATTAATAGAAGAACAGTAATAACCACTTGGTGAAAACACTATGGCTAACGGGGCGCCTCGACCATTCGAGTGTGACAGATCGTTCCCTGTGATATTAATTTAAGACTCTTATGGGAAGCATGAATACAGCTTGCTGTCAGATTGATGTCAGATTCAGACAGCCGTGCATGTGTACCATGAAGCATGGCCTGCTGTGACAAACGCTATAATAACTGATTCTCCAATGATCGGATTGAAGCTTATTTTGATTACTTCAGTCCAAATATTTCTGTTCAGAACTGTTCATAAGCAATGGAATCGTGATGTAAATCATGAAACTGACTGTTTGTGGAAACAAAATGGGCCCTCAAGGGAGCCAGGCTGAGATGGAGGACCATATGTTTTGCAGTTCAAAATATGGTATTGTTTACATGCTCACTGCTGTTTTCTGCAAGTGGTGTAAATGACAATTGACAAAGTAAGAGCTGCACAGAGGCATCTGGTTAATGTCTAAGCCTGAGGTTTAAAAAAATCACACAACTTTTGCCATCAGAATTAGCCCATCGCCTTTTCTGTTCATATGTGTGTTTCTCTTTTCATCTGCCTCTTTCTCTGTCTGGAACTGGAGAATAATTGGGTCAGAACATAATTCATAGTTTCAAGCAAATATGGGAAACCCTCCCAGAGTGACAGTGATGTTAAAAAGATCAGTATATGCTGTGTTTTGGGATGCTAAGTTTTGGCATTGTTATACTGTTCCACCAACCAGACCAGCATAAACCAGA